GAATTGAAGTTATGATGAGAATTGCTAACAGTATGTTTGATGATGAAGGTATACCTGAGGATTGGCGACACAGTGTGTTGGTGCCGTTGTATAAGGGCAAAGGAGATGTGAGAGATTGTGGGTGTGAAATTACTAGAGCACAGAATGAAGGTAGTGGAGAGGGTGCTTGAGAGGAGGTTGAGAAGTATGGTGACAGTTAATGAAATGCAGTGTGGGTTTATGCCTGGTAGGGGAACGGTGGATGCGTTGTTCATGGCGAGAATGTTGCAGGAGAATTATAGAAAGAAGAAACGAAGATTGTACATGTGTTTTGTGGATCTAGAAAAGGCTTTTGATCGAGTACCGAGGAAGGTCATTGAATGGGCGTTGAGGAAGAAAGGAGTGAATGAGAGACTTGTTAAAGCTGTGATGCAGCTGTATGAAGGGGCAAAGACAAAGGTGAGGGTTGGAAGGGGGATGTCGGACGCTTTTAGTGTTAAGGTAGGAGTGCATCAAGGATCAGTGTTATCACCGTTTCTGTTTGCAATTGTGATGGATGTTGTGTGTGGAAACATAATGGAGGGGTTGTTATTTGAGATTTTGTATGCAGATGATTTAGTCTTGATGGCTGATAGCATGGAAGAATTGCAGTTAAAATTTGACAGATGGAAAAGTGTTATTGAAAAGAAAGGGTTAAAAGTTAATATTGGTAAGACGAAGGTAATGGTGAGTGGGGAAGGTGGGGAGCGAGTGATAAGTAAAATAGACCCCTGTGGGGTATGTGACAGGAGAGTGAAGGCTAACTCGGTGTTGTGTATAGGATGTCAGANATGGGTGCATAAGAGATGTAGTGGTTTGAGGGGGGCACTGAAAAAGGTGGAAGGCACGTTCAAATGTAAGAAATGTGTTCATGGTGTGATTAATAGGACGGACGCAAGGACGGGGTTGAGTGGTGGTATTGAAAGAGTGGAAAGCTTTGTTTACTTAGGGGATTAGCTGAATGCGGATGGAGGATGTTTGAGCGCAGTTACGGCTAGAGTTCGTGTGGGATGGATGAAATTTAGGGAACTGGGTGGGGTATTGTGTGGAAAGAAATGGTCAGTGAAGATGAAAGGGAGGGTATATAAAGCATGTGTGAGAGCAGCGATGGTATATGGTGGTGAAACTTTGGTGTTGAGGAGAGAGGAGGAAAGTGTACTGCAGAGGGCTGAAAAAGCTATGGTGAGGATGATGTGTGGGGTTAAAGTGAAGGATAGGAGGAGTAGTACAGAGCTGATGTTTAGTAGTACAGAGCTGATGATGCGGTGGTATGGACATGTGTTGAGAAGGGATGAAAAGGGTCGGGATTAGGCGAGCGTTGGAGTTCGAGGTTGAAGGAGTGGTAGGAAGGGGTCGTCCGCGATTGGGATGGAGAGAGCAGGTGGAGAAGGACAGGGTGAAAGCGGGGTTGCGTGATACTGAGGCGAATGACAGATGTGGATGGCGTCGAGGAGTATTTCGGTTTCATCATAGGTAGCCAAACGGCAACCCCCGATCTCGGGGAAAATGCCGTCTAAACGTGTGTTGTTTTGTTGTTGTTTTCAACGAATCCTGATTAAGTTCTATTTAGGCTGCATTTTTGTATTGATACTTCATTTTCGTGTTTAAATTTTTTTATTTTTATGTTTTTTATAATAGATGGCAGTTGATTCAAAGAATGTAATTTCATTTTTGCGTGCACCTGCAAGAATTATTGAATGAAAATTGGTGGTGATGGTGGTGATTATGGTGATGATGGTAGCGATAATAAGATAAAGAATGATATGGTCGGCTTGGATCGTTGTAATAAGGTTCTTATCGATGATGTTGAAAATAATTTTTGTATATTTTGATGGCAGCTACATGGGGGGTACAAATTTCTGGGGTGGCAGTAAAGGGGATGAGGTGAGTTGTCTTTGTGGATGGTTGATTGGTGGTGCGTTGAATCGAGTGATTATGATGACTATTGTTTTATTGTTGTTCGTTATAGTGTTCATGTTGATGTTGGTGCTTGAGATATTTTATGACAACATTTTATGACTTCGCAGTTTTTTCTTCCTCCGTCAATCGACGACAAGATCCTGGAGGTGGTGGCAGTATTTGGCAGCATCCAGTTGGGCATCTCCAGAGTCATCAACCTGCAAAGACATCGTATCGCTCAAGTTGGTTTTTACGGGATGATGATTATGATGTGGTGGTGATGATGACGATGTTGGTGACGATGGTAGCATTGGTGACTAAATTTTTGTCAATTTCATTGCATACAGCTGATAATTATATTGTCATCATCATCATTTCCAGTGTCACTCAGTGCGCATAACAATTATTGGAGATGAGAAGATGCCCGTGCAGGTGAGGTTCTACTGGTGTGTGTGTGTGTGTGTGTGTGTGTGTGTGTGTGTGTGTGTGTGTGTGTGTGTCTGCTTATTTTCAAATACGGAGGGCACACAGTAGATGAAAAAAGTAGTTGATAGACTAACTTAACTTAATTATTTTTGGTGAAGGTTGATGGAGAGGCGTGGCTGCAGAATCCAGGTGTCATCTGGATTCAACACAAGAACAGAGCCCAGGTCCTCATCAGACATAGAGTAGGTTAATTTGATGCTTAACAGTGTCATTTCATGCCTCTACTTATGAATTCACCAGCTAATGTTCTACAAGTTCATTAAATAATGTGTGGATATTTTATTTTTTGAAGGCTTTTGAAGAAACCCACAAAACATGGACGGAGAGGAATAAATCAGATTTTGCTGCACACAAACAAAACAAGTCCAGCAGCAACAACCTGCAGCCACAAAACCGTTAGATCGCTTCTTTCACTTTCTTTCTTTATTGCCAGCTGAGTTTAACATTAGATAAAATTTATTTTTGTAACCATTTTGTTGATGAAAATTTTGTTAACGAAGATTTTAAAACTGCTCTGTTGAATTTGCGAACACACAGCAGTGACGAGTTGGAACGGGGAAGACATTTTGAAATGGCTGGCTGGCATGGACATGTGCCAATATGGACGACTCTTCATCCAACATGAAATCACTGGGCGGGAGCTCGTCAACCTCAAGAGGAAAGATCTAAAAGTTCATTTTATTTGTTACCATTATTAATATTTTATTATTATTGTTATTATTGTTATTATTATTATACGAATTTATTTTTCAGCATTGTTCTTGAATTTTTATGAAGAGATAATTTTTTAAGAGAAGCAGTAGTGTAGATATAGGAAGCATTATATATTAAAACTACACATTCTATATAGAAAAAATTTATTTTGTATCATTAAAAGCACGTGAGTAAATTTTTTTCAATTTGATTGTTCCAAGCGGTTGACATTTAAGCATGCACATGTGCAACAATTGTCATAATCGATTTGAAATACATTAGTAGCATTCAGCCAGCCAAAAACACTGAGCATATACAATATATTATATATGATACTTGGAAACATATTTTATTAACGTAGGTGCATATTTTACATGCGTGTTTTCATGAGAGGCGAATAAATTATTTGTGTGTTCGTACTCCAACAAAAGGACACACATAATGTTTGTGCACTTATTCACTAAGTATTCGAAGATTTCCTGCTATAACCACTAAAGTATTCATTTTTTTAGAAATTTACATCTAATTAGTCTAAAAATTTAAACATTGATTTATTATGTTGGTGTAACTGACTGCTCTTTTTTACGAACAGATTGCATCGATATCGTAAATATTCCAAAATGTTTTTATTAATTCTTTTTTGGATATCTTAGTTTTTTGCGCCTCAGTCGCTTGCCATGGCGCTATATAAAATGACATTATTATTATTATTATTATTATTATTATTATTATTATTATTATTATTATTATTATTATTGCGAGTGGTATTGTTTTAAATTTACATTCGTTTGGGGTGTGACGTTGTATTTGTGATTAAGCCGATTCATGCAAATGTATTTCGAGTATCTCTCAAAAATTTAAATTTAATTTTGTTGATACAATCGTTTATGACATCATTGGGCTTATGTGAAAAGGATGTAGGAGAAATGATATGAAATGAAATCACACAGTTAATACCTGCATGGTTTGATGTAGGCTCAAATACCTTACGACTAATCAAAATCGATGTTTAAAGAAAAAGTTTATTCACTATCAGATTCAACAAATATACAAATATTATTATAAAAACAATAGTCGGTAATGAAAAAAATTGAATATAAATTTATCAGTTTTACCGTCCAATCTAATTAACCATCATTACATTCAACGAACTGCTATTAAAGTTGTGTCTTGTATTGGCTTCTTAATTGAACCTTCACTGTTTCCTGGCTACCTTCTTCACCCTCCCTCTAGAATGTGTCTTGCGTTCAATTGTTTTTAAAATGAATGAAAGGTTGGAGATTGGTCTATAACTGCTCTCAACACTGCATGATAACCCTGGCCTCGTCACTAAAGGTGATACAACTGCCATCTTTTGAGATTTCTGGCATGATTGACAATTCAATGCATCTGTTGATTAAGACATTGAAAAATGGTGGCAGAGTATCCTTAACTTTTTATCGATGAACGTTGGGATTGGAACCAAGCTACACGGTTTTGTAAGTGATGACTGGATTACATTTTTAAATTCGCCTTTTGTGATTAGTTCAAAAAACTGAAGATGATAATTTACCGGCGTAAACTCCGGAACTAATGCATCATCAAACTATATGTTGGATTTTTTTTAATATCGTTGAAAATCATGGGCTGATATCAAACAAGCAGTCAATGCACGAGATATATTTTTAATAAGTGATGAAACAACAATCCACTGGATATTTTTTTATTATTTTCATTTATTCAACCAACAACTGTAAATAACTATGTTCTTTTTCCATGGAGAACATATGTTTTTCTTAGTTGTCCAAAATCAAAGGCTGATAGTTGAGAGAATTATTATTTCAACGGTATATTTTCATGGTTTATTTTTTGATCGTTTTTATCAGTTTTTGAGGAGCGTGTTGATCGGGAAGTCAACGAAGTTTAGAAGGGTCCTGCACATCACATGTCAGACAAATTTGGACTACATGAATCACTTGAAACAAGGTTGTTGTTGAATTTGACGTAGGCTAATTGATCTTGCGGTAATTTTCACTCTGCAGAGAGGGCATAGGGGATATTCTAGGAATCACTCCTTTATGCATATGCAATGAAAAGCATGTCCACATTTTAATTCTCTCACGAACGATACACCGACTTAGATTATGATCGTTACTTTTAAGTGCTGGATTAAAACGATTGTTGTGGTTATTGTTTGTGGTTAAGACTTTTTTAGCTTATTGGAAAAAATTGTTTGTGCATCTCGCATGATGTTCGTAGCGGAGCAGCTTTAATTTTGTGAGCCGCACATCTGCATCTGACAATTTTCCAGTAATATCCGTCATATACATATTTTGATCAATTTTCAATCTTATCCGACTTGAAGTTGCTCGAAACATTGTTACCTTTCAATTCTTCTCTCAGTATTAACTGTTGCTGCCTTATTTTTTCCGATCAAATTCTTTGATTTTCGACATATTCATTCACAACCTTCGATATATTCTTCGATATATCCATTCACAACCGTTCTAACAGCTTCCTTGATAATGAGGTAATCAGCCATCTTACAACAAATATTTTCAAATGAATGGAATTCGTGAACTGAGAAATTTTTATAACATACACAAAAGTTCTTACTATTTATACATTCAGACAAAATACAAAGAAAAAGACAACATACCTACAATACATCCAGACGTAGACATTAAGTTGATGGGAAAATAATGTCGCCTTTTCCTAGGCTCAATTTCTTGGAGTAATTTTTAGGAAATTATTTTTGGCTACCGCTGAATGTTATATGTCATTTTAAAATTTAATTATTTATCATGTAAACACATTTGAATGAGTAGCTTGGTGCTTTATTTTATTGGCCTTTAAGCTATTTCAAAAAGTGTTGTCGAACGTGAAATTTGCATGATTTTGCTTCATGAGTTTAAACATGGCCGTAATGCCTCAGAGGCAACTCGAAACATTATACAAGCATGAGAAGGTGCAAGTACTTCTAAAAGAACCACATAAAGATGGTTTAACAAATTCTGTTCTTGTAATTTTGGCCTTGAAGATGAAGAGGTTCGAGGGAGACCATATAAATTTGATAACGATGAATTGAGGACAGTTATTGAAGCACATCCGCACAAAACCACACGGGAACTTGCAAAGGAACTTAACGTTGACAACACCACTATTTGTGACCAGTTGAAGCAAATCGGAAAGGTGAAAAAACTGGATAAGTGGGTTTCCCACGAGTTAAGCGAACAGCAAAAGAATCTTCGTTTCGAAGTGTCGTTTTCTCTCCTTTTGCGAAAGAAAAACGATCCGTTTCTAGATTGAATTGGGACTTGTGACGAGAAATGGATCTTTCACGACAACCGGCGACGTTGAGATCAGAGGTTGGATCATGATGAACATCCAGAACACTTTCTAAAGTCAAACCTGAACCCGAAGAAGATCATGGTGACTCTTTGGTGGTCAAGAGAAGGATTAATCCGTCACAGCTTCCTAAAACCAGGTGAAACGATTGCTGCCGAAAATTACTGTTAACAAATCGACGAGATGCACCAGAAATTACGGCATATGCGTCCAGCATTGGTCAACAGAAAAGGTCCAGTTTTTCTCCATGACAATGCCCAACCGCACGTTGCAAAACAAACGCTGAAAAAACTGAAATACTTGGCTTACAAGATTCTACCCCACCTACCATACTCCCCAGACCTCTCCCCTACAGACTACCACCTTTTTCAAACATTTGGACATCTTCCTGATGGGAAAACTGGAAAACTCTTCAATGACCGAGACACCATAAAATATGCCTTTTAAGAATTTGTCAGCTCCAGGACGCCAGAGATTTAGGCTACAAGAATAAACAGACTTATTTCTCGTTGGCAGTGTGCTGGTAGCAATGGTTTTTATTTTTGATTAATAAACTTTAAATTGAGCCGAGTTATTGAACTTTAAAGTTGACGTTACAAATGCGACATTATTTTCCCTTCAACTATCAATAAATTTTAACTGTGTATGAAAGTGTCAAGGAAAGAAAGCTGGGTATCTTTGGGCACATCTGCAGAATGACAAACGACAGACTGATCAAAAAAGTACTGATGAGAAAGATTGACTGGAAGAAAAAAGTTGGAAGACCTGTGAGGAAGTGGATGGATGATATCACGGAATGGTCGGGGATTGGAACATTGGGCTCAATGAAGATGGCGAGGGAAAGAAAAGGATTTTGGAGAGATAGAAGAATACCATCGGCCTCAACGGTCCCATAAGGGATTACAGAGGATCATTGAATGAATTGAATGAATCAATAAATTTTAAGGCAGTTATTTTTTTTTTCAAACAAAATTTGTAAAACCATTTTTAAGCACACACATATGCAGATACATACACGCAAATACATTTCAAAAATAACAGCAATAGATTAATATACACAAACATATCCAAGCCTTACCAACTGTAATAATGAAATATGTCAATAAACAACTCAATAAACTCAATTAACTTAAATTTATGACAAGTTGAATTTATACTTCTTAATCGATTTTTTAGACTAAGTAGATGTAAATATACGTATAATATGTATTAGAAACACGTGCGATTATGCAAGCACCACACATGTTACCACATTTTAAAAAACAAATTAATCAGTCTTTGCGCACGGTGTTAGGTCTTGGTAATCTAAAAGTATTTAAAATAATCAAGACAGTAACATCAATCAGATGGTCCAAGCGATACAATCGTTATTCTTCTCGCTACAAATAATTTACTTTTTTTTACCGAAATACTTGATTAGCGAACATTATTTTTTAGGCAATACATTTTTAGGCTAATGTAACAAACTATCACGTTATTAACACTCACTTGCAGGACCTGGGCGTTGTAAAGGTGGGCCATCTGAAGAGAATACTCAGCAGTTTAAAGAACTTGAAGAAGCAATCCAACAATAATACTACAGCTTTCAATAGCGCAAACAATCCAAACAGTGGCACTTCGGCTAATGTAGCCGCTGCTGTTACAGCTACTTCAACTCTGACCCCTACCCTATCAGTGTCTCCAATTTTTAATGCTTCTGATATTAATACTTCTGTTATTAACAATTGTAGCATTGGAAGCATTAAGTCGAAACCTAGTGGCACGTTCAAGGAGACATCAATGGCGGCATCAACGGCCACCGAACACCACCACTCTGGTACGTTTGCTGGCCAGCATTGTGAAATGAGTACTCCAAATCATGAAAATATTGTTCAGATCGGAAACATCGCTAAAACAATTCGTAGTAATAACAACGACGATGATGATGATGATGAAGAAGAAGAAGATGGTGAGGATGATGATGAGGATGATGGGTTTCATGAAGTGGTCAAGCTGTAGAACCAACATCTAATTTTTGCTGTGTTTTAAAGAAAAATAACTATAACTTAAGGGGGTAATTCCGATAATAAAAGAAATGTATTTTTTATAAACTTATATTAATGAAGATATTTTATAGCGCATACTTGGGCGGCAGCGGAATCATGTTGTTCTCACCGGCCTTAACATGACTGTTACGCATGTTCCTTCTTCCTCCCCTCCTCCATGACTTGTTTGGCTCACCCGCTTACTGATTATAAATTGTGATTTCAATGAATCTTATAAAGTGGCTCTTTTGCCAAATTATTCATTTGTGTTATTCATTTGTAATATTTAACATTATGAATCAAAGAAGATCAATCTATAACGTCAATCAAATCATGTCATCCCTGTCATCTTTCATTTCGTAGCATTTTATATGCTCCTCCTTTTTTCTGTAATAATTAGATGTGATGTATATTTGATTGTGATTTAATTCGTTAAGGTTGTATACATATACGTTTAACGTCTTTATTTTATCTATCCAAGCACGTGTTGCAATTTCATATATATATATATATATATATATATATATATATATATGCGTTTATAAGTTTGCACCAATTTGCATAAATGTTTATCTGTTTCTATGCACGTTCCCAAAGTTTATCAAACTTCTATTCAGCTTCATATCTTTTTATATTGTTCTCAATTGATGCACGAATTGTTGTTTGTTTTTGTTAAGTACATTTTATTATTGAGATGAAAACCTATCTCTATTGTTTTCTTTTTAGAACAAGTATTACCATTGTTGTTGCTTAAATTTGAAATTACAATCATCTTTAAAAAAAAATGTTCATTGGTGAATTTATTTGTTCTATTGTTAGTTTATTTTAATGTTCAATTTCTAATTTTCTTATATTATTTTACCCTTTCAATTTCCATGTTTCATTACATTTCATCGTTCGTCACTCATTGAAAATGTGGACGGACGATATGTTGTATGCGCGAGTGTACCTAGATGCTCATCAACGCAATAACGATAGTTCTTGAGATTAAATAAATATTAGTTCATCGCTGCTCCATTTATTTAATGTCAAGTTATAGTTTATTGTTTTCAATTTTAAACTATCTTTTCATGCACTTTTTATATTTTGCGTTCTTTCTACTTTTCGGCGTCATTATTTTATATATACTTTTCTATATAAGCGGTTAAATACTTAAGCAAATATTTACTCACAATCGTTTACTTTTGCGCGTTCGTTGGTGTGTGTGTGTATGTGTGTGTGTGTTTGTGTGCTTGTTTGTATCTGCGTTTGTTATTTGCAGATGTTTAGAGCTGTGTGATTGCGCAATTTTGTATGTTGAATGTGTTACTGACTTTTCCGGGAAATGTATGTACATAACATTTTGGCTTCCGACATATGCCTTACGTGTTTACAATGTGTGAAATGCATTCATTTAGTTTCATCTTTCAATTGTTTAATTTATCCATTTGAAGTTTGATATTTCCTCATAAATATGTTTGGGCATTACTGCGAATACTTAAAATTTGAGTTAATAGAAAGTTATTGTGTAGATAACAGCATTAAATAGTGACATATTTTATGTGGGAAATACATTTTTTATTTAATACATTTTATTTATTACTTCTTAAATGTTTTTATTATGTTATTTCAGAGGTTGGTAAACCGCTAGGCCATTTTATGCTGCTCGTGTTTTACGTATTTCTGTGTTACATCTAAAAAATTTTTGTACTTTTTTTTACATTTTAGTTTAAATACCTAATTGGAAACCAAAATTTCAGAAAAGTTTGAGCAAAGAGTATTGTACTTTTGTCATTTTATTACTTTTTCTGAGCTCATTAAAAAACTGCCCTCAAACTTCTTGCAATATTTGAGTCTACACCCTACACGCTTTTGTGAAATAATATTTTTTGCTTGAGTCTGAAAATAGGTCAGTGCTGTATGGTTGCAATTTGGATACTTTAATGAGATGGACCGTAACTTGTCTGGTCTGGTTCCATATCTCAAAAAATTTATAAAAATTGTCAACAATTGCAGTTATATATATAAATCGTTTCTGAAATGGATGAGAAAATATGCAGTTTCATTGAAATATATTAGTAGATAACCGCTGTTTTCATAACTGCTATAATTCAACGAATATATAAATATATATATATGTGTGTGTATATATATATATAATATATACATATAAATATATTTTGGGTTTAGACTATCATAAATACAATTATTTATAAAGACCACTGCGTTTTCGGCATTATTCAACTTGTAGTTGAGTTCTATAACTACAAGTTGAATAATGCCGAAAACGCATTGATCATTATAAATAATTATATAAATTTATTTATATATGTGCGGCCCTCGAAAGCCAGCCAATTTTTTCGATATGGTCCTTGGGAAATAATCTGCTTTCCTGCTGCATGCTTCATGCGTAAACAACATCCAGCAATTGGTAGTATTTTTGTATTCTACCGTTCAACTGGATACTGTTCTTTCTATCGTCTCTCTGTCGTGCTTCAAGTTAAAATTGATGTCTCATGGTGTTCATAATTAATGATAAACATATTCATGGGTTATGATTAATACACGATGCTCGTAATACACGATGTCAATGATATATGATTGATGAGATTCTTGATATATTACGAATGATACAACCAACACCAGCCACTGCCGTTGTTAACGATTAATAACGAAATTTATTTATTATCCATTATGTTTCGACACATACAGCGCGTCATCGCATCGTTACCTACCTTGATATTTTTTTCTTTTCTTTTTACATTAACCTAAATTGTGAATTGTTATTTTGTGGAGGACTATTGGTTGGAATGTTTGATATAGATGCTCTCTCCTTATACTAATGTGTAGCATGCGTTAATTATTATCCGTTGTTGTTGTATATTTTAATATATATATTGTTGATTCAACTAAACCTAATAAGAAAATATTGTTCATCCATACATATAAAACTGGTTTTTATATGTCATCAAGTTTATTTTTGATGTTTCATGCCTAGGGCATTTGTGGTTGTTCGAAGTTCGAAATGTACCGAATGATTTTTATATGCAAGTTGCACTTTTTATAACGAATAAATGTTTTTTAAGCAACTAAACATTTTTTTGTAAGATTCATAATTTTAAAACGAGTTACAATAAAAAAATATTGTGAAAAAATGATTGAAATTAAATTTATACGAGCTACAAATTATACAGTATGCTAATGAACACTTGCGTCAATATTTTAACTGAAAGTTCGCATTAATTTCGCTCTCTTACCGATGTTGAATTCAAGCTGGCAATCTTGCTGACAATTTTCAAAATAAAACTGGTGTGTTTGGTGGTGATAGGTATTTGTGCCCAGAGGTGCTTTCTTAGGAAAGTCATCAATGATAGAAATAATCTAAAATTAAACAAACAGCAGATCAAATGATCTGTGCGCTATTGCATATATTCAGGAATTATGACCATTGAAAATCGAAAAAACACAGAATGTAAATAAAATTAAATTTTTATATTAACAATGTAATACGTTGTTGTCTTTGTGTGTCATATGCTGATGTTGGAATTATAGACAGCTGAGAATGGTCACTATGAAAATAGATCAAAGATTTTGGCCTGGCCTGCGCTCACGATTTTTTTCTCTTGAGTAACATGCAATGAAAATGTTGATTGGGACAGTGTTAAATTTGTAATACACGTGCCCTCTAGTAGGCTCACGTTTTACAGTTGCGCTGTAACATTATAATATACAAATTCTTACTACAACTTGTAAATTTGATAGTTAGTTATTTTTGTTTTTTACACTTCTGGCGGCCAAAATGTTTCTCTTTAGAGTTGTGAGGTCACTTTCTTGTTTCATAAATTCGTGTTGCAGTAGTTCGTCTGCGGTCGCTCGTTTCGAGACATCAACTGTTAAGCACTTGTCTGCAAAATCCAGTAAAGCTGTTGAAAATTTTCCTGTAGGAAAAAAAGTTGCTTCAGAATTAATTGGAAATAAATTTGAAAAACGAAGTAATTTAACAGTATTTTTCAGTTAAGAGGAAAGGGGTGATTTAGTGTCGGCGGTAAAAGCGGCATGTCTTACATCGTTGTTATTTTGTTCAAATACTAGATGTCAAAAATTCAAAAAACTTTCATAAGCCTTGCGCGTACATATAAATGCATCCTATATACATCGTATAGTAGGATGATACAACTTTTGCGGTATAAAAGTTTAACTGCAACTAAGTTAATTAAGAAATGATATGCAAGCAGGTCTATGTTTGCAAGGACTGCATCATAAAAAAAAAAATAAGCTTAACCGGCATTTTGGATTTTCGGTTTGCCATTAACGGCGATAAGGTACAAGGCCCTAACTGGTGTCTCATTCAAATACGGTGGCTCCCCGTCGATCATCTCGATGATTATGATTCCCATGCTCCATATATCCACTTTGTAACTATATTTCTTTCTAACATATTTCAAATTACAGGAAATGAGCAGAGGTGAGGTAACAAATCGTGTTTTGTAAAAACAATCTCTATAATAACACCAACAACGAATTGGATCAAAAATATTTGAATTTTTGATCTTAGCCAATGTTAACATTTTAAAAATTCCAATAATGTTGAAATGTTTTGTAAAATAGCATACCTGGCAATAACTTCTGGAGCCATCCAGTATGGTGTGCCAACCATGGTGCTTCTCTTGGAGTTGTCTGCCACTCGTATCTGAGCACAATAACCAAAATCTGTAACTTTTACTTGCCCCTCCATTCCTAATTTATAAAGATATTTTTTTTATTTATGAAACTAGCAAAATTTATTCCACTGTTCCTTTACTCCTGTCCTAAGAATTTGAATTTTACTACTTCTTCAAATCAAACTTGATTTTTAAATATTTATGCCTTACAATTCTTTCTCCAATATTTATCAAAAGCATAAACAACAAACACACAGTGCTTATGTAAAAAGAAAACGTAATGCAACAGAACGCACCCATCACATGTGGTGGGTGGGCACTTCTTGTCAATCGAATCCAATCAACACAGCAAAAGTAATTTCGAGCTTTTTACCGTTACAACATCGCGCCGCCCAAATATTTATCATTATTATTATTATTTTACAACATAAAATAAAACCACTATGTTTCCAGAACAAACTATCTTTGATGATGCACGCCGTACAACTATTTGCAACGGATCTCAAAGTTGGGTAAAGAATGATCGGAAATTTAAAAAAATTATCTTTGTAGTAAAGTTGATATTGGCGTAAGTTCCATTGTTTTTTTGAAAATAATATTTTTTAGAAAAATTCTAAAGTACATATTTTAAATACATTCTAGAGATCATTTGACTCGCTAACTCTATCAAATGTTTCAAGAATAGTTCAAGATTATAAAATAAACTATATGAAAACAAACCCACTTAATCAATCAATCAGTCGGTCAATTAGCTTATAAAGCGCTATTTGCGATGTTCAACAGCGCTCCTCAATGAATTTTGCAAACAGATGGGTCTTGAGATCCGCTCTGAACTTCGTAAGTGATGGAGAAGTAGTCAGAGAAGTAGGTAGAGAATTCCAGAGAAAAGGGTCAGAAAAAGCAAATGCAGGTTTAGCAAAAGAGTGTTTAACACGAGTTAAGAATAAGTGAGAACAAGAAGGCGATCGTAAACCGGGAGCGTTTAGGTTCACTTAATATATATGATAAGTACTTATGAAATTATTTAGATTGATACTTATACATAAATGTGCACATTTTAAAAATTATTCTATATTTTATAGGTAGCCAGTGTAAGAGAACAAGGTATGGAAATATATGAAAAAAGAAAGGGGCACAAGCAACCAGACGAGCAGAAGAGTTAAAAGCTTTACTTAAAGGTTAGAGTGTAGAATCAGAGAAACCATAGTAGAGCGAGTTACATTAATCAATCCTAGATAAGACTAACGATGTAACAAAAAGTAGAAGAGAAGGATCGTCAAGAAAAGGTAAAAGTTTTTTATTCTACGTAGATGAAAGTAAGAACTTCTAGCAACAACTTAAGTTATGCAGAGGTGATAAAATATTTATAAGAAAAATACTTTAATTTACTTATTATATATTTTACAAACATGGCTACAAACCTAACAGAACATTGTCACTTTTCATATCTCTATGAATGACTTTTCTAGAATGCAGGAAACTTAGAGCTTCAAGGCACTTTTTTGTGATGCCAGATATTTGAGATTCGTTCACTAACGTTTCTGTACATACATCCGTCAAACATCCTCCTTCTAAATACTCCATGACAACCCATAATTTTTCGGTTTCCTAAATTTGCATACAAATATTCCTTACATAGATTATCTCAAGCAAATTTTTTTAAAGATGTTCATTGTGTATTAATATTAAATTAAAAAGACCTGTCAAAAGTTGCATCAACTAATTAAAAAATAGTTGCCTTTGCTAACTAATAACTTACTAACTAACCAGGTAACATTCAATGTAGTTGACGATGTTTGGATGTTTAAACTCCCTCATCACTTCGATTTCACTGATGAGCAGTTCCTTCCTTTGCTGCTTAGCAAGATCCATCTTTTTAATGGCAACAACATCACCTCTAACTAAATGCTTCGCCTCATATACCACACCTGAAGCCCTAAAGGTATATTTTAGGAAGTTTTTTAATTGAACATTTTATTAAAAAAAAGACAAATTCAAATTAATTGCTAAACAGCTTACCCTGCACCCAGCTTCTGAATAATATTGTAGATGCCATCTGGCTTACCTTCAGATGTGAAACTTTCTGAACAATTGATATACAACGTATTCATTAATATAACTCAAGAGGTACATTTATTTTAGAGCTCACTTAATAGTTCCATCAACTCTTCTTCTGTCCTTTTCAATTTATTTCCAAAAATTTTTTTCTTGACTGATTTTTGGTTCTCAGTTCTTCGAACCCCATCTAAATAATCTGGATCTTCTGGTTTTGCAGGCTGAAATGTAAATAAATTGAAAATAATAACTTGAAAGTATTTTTAAACTTTTATTCAAAAAATTCAGACTTTGACAGTTAATTTTTTTTTAATCTTCATGGATTGTGTTTTGACTGCAGTTTGTGATGTTGAGCTGGACATGGCGGCATCCATTTCAGTTGCAGACCCACTAGTGAGATCTTCAGATGATCGTGATCTGCTTGTGAAAGATGTATTAAAATCTTCCGATGAACAAGATTGGTTGATTTTTTGACCGTTTAATTCCTCAGAGGAGTATGTTCTTCCAAGTTCACCATAGCCAGCTAAATCTTCAACTGATCCAACTCCCATATATTTTTGCTTGTCTTGCTTCAGGAGGTTTTTGTTGTAAGCAGTTAGTGCATTGACAACTTCTGTTGGGTGGGCAGTTCGTTCTGAGGCACTGGTGTCAATTAAAAAATAGCCTCAAATTAACATTTATTTTTTTTTATAAAATACATTATTTCCTTCCTTCTAATTATATTTTTATTATAATTTGATACTTCCAGTTAAAAGAGTGGCTTTCTTACTTAATAGACAGCTTCTGGCTCTATTTTAATCATAATTGTTTTCCCTTGTGCAAAATAGCATACCAGTAAATTTCATGATTTTGTATTTACACTTTGTAGTTAAATAATTAAAAAGGCCATTGTTAAGTTTTATTAATAGCCTCTAAATGATGATGTTGGCTGAGCTTTAGCTTTCAATTAATGCAGTCATTTATTTATTTGCACTTTATTTTGTTTACATATTTTGGTATGGTCACACTCTGATGTACAGGCTTTTCTAAAATGCAGAACAACTATAAAAAATTAATTTTTGAATCTTATAGACAGACTTAACATAATTGGCCTCTGACTGCCATTTTATAATGATGAGTTTTTTTCACCAAATGTGTTTTTATTAATCATTTGAAACTCAACTTGAACAAGTCCTCATTGTTCATAATTAATTTTTAATCGTATCCGCTTGTATTGTTCATGAAAAAATTAGTATAAAATATAAGTATGAAATGAAAAAAATGACAAAGAAGATCACCTACCTTATCATTGAACCCTCCAGCCACTTTTGCCATTCAGTTGGCAGGCCTGTTAAGGTGCCTGTCTGTTTATCAAACCCAACATGACACTGATGTTTAACATTTGTAGGACCTGAAATGGTTAACCTGGCTACTGAGTTATCTAGGGTGTTATTAGCCGATTGTTCATTTGTTGATTTTCGGGAGCTGCCACCACTTCCCATGCGGAACAATCGCTGTAACACTCCAGACATAGCTACTTCACTTTTTAAGACACAAGTTTATTAACAACACAAACACAGAGTTAAGAAAGCTACTCACTTATTTTTATTGATTGCTAACTGAATTTTATATATTTCTAAACTACAGAAATTCATTTATTTATCAAAAACGAAACAACATTCATTTAATTATGGTCAGTGTTGTAGCTAACATTATTGGAAAAATAAACTCCAATCATGAGAAGAATCAGAACGGATCATATCATTTTGTGACATTGTACGTACACTCACATAATCATTTTACTCATATATTCAAAAAGGGCGTCGATTTTCAAATATCAAATGAAAACGGGGAAAAATAATGTGGCATGCAGTTATACGATCGACGTCTTTTAAAAGTACAAGTTCAGGCACCAAAATACAAAACTGCTAAATAAATATTAGACATTGCTTGATTTAACAAGAAGTAATATAATATAAATTAATTCAGGTGTTTTAGGGATGTGCTCAATAAGTTTATTAATAAAAAGTAATTTCACTTCACATAAACGACCATTGAACGACTGAAAAACTGGATAGTCCATTATTCACGTCTAACTTTAATAAAATTTTTAAATCATAAAATCTTATATAATGCGGTTTTTTAAGCAACATTTTAATTATAGTTAAACAAAACTTGAAAATTTATTTTTGTCCGAAAAAAAATGTTTGTGAGGAAGTTATTTCATGACCAAGACTTTCGGAGGAGACATCAATCTGTGGCATGTATTTCATTCCTTTTTGGAGAACCGGAGATTCATTTCCTTTTTCATCTCTATCACCAGAATATCGTTTGGCTGCAGACATGTCGGTTGGAAAGTCTCCGCCGTTAACTTCTTGAGACTTCTTCGAGTGTTTAATTTCTGCTCTGCGTGCACGTATCATTTTCTGGCACCCATACACCATGCATACGAACATTGATATTAAACACAGAATGATGAACGTGTAGACTCCACCAGCTAGGTATGCTTCTTGAGCTGCCCTCCCTACCCAATCCTCTCCTTCCAGAATCCATGGTTTGAACGGATGTTCTGCAAATTGGTTGGCCTGCATTTCGTTCTTGTCGTTTGGTTGGCGATTATTTTGGTAATCCACGTCAATTTGCATTCTTTATGTTGTTCTCAATAACTACTTTTAAATTGTTGAACATTTTTATTCTAACAAATATTTAATGTTGATACCTAACTTTATAATCAACTGTTCCGCTTCAACGTATAAAAGATGCAAATTATTTCGTAAGTCAGCTTTATAAAGAATGCATCTTTTATGTTACACACGTATGTTAGTTAACGCCCATATATGACATAGGTAACGCTTCACGATCGTCAGATAAAAGATTTAAAAGAAAATTAAATCGTAGCAGATAATGGTGATGTAGATTCAATTACAACGATGCACATTTAATTGGAGGTTTATATTAGATAGATTCTGTTATCACTCTTGCCTGTACTCACCTGAGCTTTCGCGTCATAATTTATAATTATATTTATTTATAATTTATTTAAAGCATAATTATTAGTTTATTTTTTTATAATTGCGTCACATTATACTTTTAGACTGGATGGACTTGAATCAGCGAAGATAAATTTAACGTAATTTCATTTCAATTTTCAATGCCTTCATGTCTCACTTACATAATAAGGGATCGAATAGTGCACCCATTGAATGTCTTATCGTGATATCCATTATGAAGTTTTGTCTAGAGATAGCTTTCATAGTTGAATATTCTATTCAGATATGAAATAATTTTTATTCCAACACAACATATGTATGTTTTATCCATTCTATACTTTTACAAACCTTAAATATAGAAAAACTATAATATTAAAACTATCTACGTTGCAAATACGTACAATCAAAACTCAGCCAATGCCGATTTAAATCAAAATAATTAACACGCAAAGTTTTCTGTACAGGTGAATATGAAAACAATTAAGCAAGTGCATTATGAAACGATTTCTTCCTCCTCCTCTTCTTCATCATCAACCTCATCAAAGTAATCGTCTTCAAGTCTGGGTTCATATGCTGCTCCGATTGGTTTGTCATCGTCCTTCATTATCTCTTCCCAGTCAAATGACTTGAAAGGCTTTTCGTTTTGCTGTTTCAAATATGGACAATCATCGTTAATACTGAGTCAATCGGTTTATTACTTCAAATAGCAATCCTACTTTGTTATTCACTTTTATCAAAATGTTATTTCATTCAAATATCAAAGTATCAAATATCATAGTAAAAAAATTTCTACATCATTCATTTCAATAATTTAAACCATATTTATTGATTTTCACTTATTACAGATAGCCTACTTCAATAAAGCCGTACCCAATAGTTTCTTTTTTCCATCCATTCGATTTTAAAAATTTTTAAATTACCGCAATAAAATTCGAAGTATTATTTATATAATCAAATATTATGTCAGACCCTCTTGACGGCGGTGATGAAGTCTTCCATGGTTACAAGGCCATCCTTGTTGTAGTCTGCCACGGCGATGATGTCGTTGATTTCCTCGTCATCGAGGTCGTACCCAAACCTGAATCGTGTTTTTCCACATACATTTTTCTTATTTATCAACAGCAAGCTGCATGCTTTTATTTTAGCAAGTCACATTAACACACGGAAGAGATCTTCGAAAAAAGCAGCACGGAACAACTGTCAAAGCGGTAGTACGTTTACCTCATAAGCAAACAGCCAAAGCGGCTCCAAAAACCAAAACATAAAAAATTTGAGAATTCCGCTTATAAGGCATTTGGGCAAAATTGACCAAATTATAAAGATTATAACTGGAAAATCAATAACTGAAAAATCAGTAGTATTTTTTATTTTTACACAGCCGCGTTGAGACACAAAGGGTTGGATGGGACAGGTCAATAATAAGAAAATCATGCGCTTTAAGGGTACTCTTTTAGTTTATCTTTGTCGAATATCATGTCATTTATGTTTATCTAAAAGCGGATCAAATTTCATGCACGTTTTTAGCTTCCGGACTGAAAAAACTGTTTTTGGACCTCGAAAGTAAAATTTAGGTGATCACATTTTTTCGTTTTATTTTACATTAATTTTGTTTTTTTAAATACAGTTTGCTATTATTAATTTTATTGTTTATTTAGTGATTCTTCTCGTATAATATTGTCACTTAAACAATGACAATAAAAAAGTTAATAGAACTTTTATAACCTAAACCTCAGTTGGGGATGGTTGAGACAATCATTTAAAGGGTTGAATGAGACATCTCAATCAACCCTGAATAATTAATTATTATGTGGTCTTTATAACTCTTTACCTTTTGGTTATATAATCAGTAAATATAAATTTAAGTTGGTTTGTTTTGTATTAATTTATCTGATAAATTAATTGAATATAACATAAATTATTTGTTTTTTTTTATTTATTTTTATTAGCATTATTTAATTTATTATATTTATTTTGGAAGACATGCCACAAACTCATATTCGAAAAACAGAAAGAGGGAAGTATAGTTTGGAAATTGTACGCAAAGCTGTTCTAATGGTAAAAAATGGAGAAGGGTTGAGAAAAGTGGCCAAACAGTTTGAGATAGACAAAACTACATTATCCCGATATGTTTACAATTAAAAAGAGATTTACAAATAATGAAAATTCACCTATGATTGGTTTTTGGGGAAATCATAGAGTTTTCACATTAGAAGAAGAATTGATTTTTTGTAATTATTTAATTACATCATGTAAGATGTATTATGGTCTGACGGCAATGGAAATGAGAAAACTGGCATATCAAATGACTATTAAAAATAAGAATAATATTCCAGATAATTGGCATTCAGGACAGATAGCCGGGAAGGATTGGTTTGATGGTTTCTTGAAACGATCAATTCGATCAAATTTCAAATTCAACAAAACGATCAAATTTCAATTCGAAAACCAGAAACAACGTCAATGGGAAGAGCGTCTTGTTTTAATAAAACAAATGTTGCTGCTTTTTTTTAAATCTAGAAGACATAAAGGCTCGTCATAATTTTCTACCGAATAATATTTATAACATCGATGAAACTGGTTGCACAACAGTTCAATGTGTGATAAAAGTTTTATCACCAAAAGGACAAAAGCAAGTTGGAGCAATTACGGGTAGTGAGGATCGAGGCAAACTGGTTACAGTTTGTTGTGCTATTAATGCCATTGGTCAAGCAATACCTCCGATGTTCATATTTCCGAGGGTTCATTTCAAAAGTCATTTTATAAATTTTGGACCTGCTTGTTGCATAGGAACTAGTCATCCTAGTGGATGGATGACTTCAGAAAGCTTCTTAATGTATCTGAAACATTTTGTTCATCATGTGAGTTTTTAATTATAAATTTGTTTAGAAATAATGATTTGTTATTCAAATTACATATTTTAAGGTAAATTCAAATCAATAATTGTTTTTCAAGGTAAGATGTTCCATTCAGACACCTGTGCTCCTTCTCTTGGATAACCATGAATCACACTTGTCTATAGAAGCAATCGATTATGCCAAGAACAACGGAATAGTTATGCTCAGTTTCCCTCCTCATTGTAGCCACAAACTACAACCTCTTGATCGTACTGTTTACGGTCCATTTAAAAGGTATTACAACACTGCATTAAAAGACTTTATGATTAATAATACTGCTCATCGACCAGACATTTATGATATACCGGGACTGGTGGCAAAAGCATACAAAAGTGCAATGACTATTGAAAACATCACTTCCGGATTCAAAGTTACAGGCATTTTGGCCACATAATTCAGATATTTTTGCTGAAGAAGAATTTCTACCATCCAAAGTAACTGATAGATTCAATGGTGCACCAGATGAAACATTGACGGATTGTGAAGCTGTGAATGCTAACAGTTTGAAAAAATTTAGAGTCTACAGATCAAGTTTTTTCACAGCAGGATAGTGCCTACAAACCAAGTGAATCATCAAATCCCCAATTGAATAACATTATTGAAACTTGCAAAAATGTTCTTGATGAGATCGCTACAATATTTAAACCTGAAGACATCAGGCCATTTCCAGTTGCTCCACCTAGGAAACTGAAAGGTAAACACCCCAGGCTAGGTAAAACGAGGATTTTAACAGATACTCCAATTAAAAATGAAATTTCTCAAAGACAAGAAAAAAGAAGACAAATAAACAGAAAAAAAAGTAAAATGTGAAAAGAAAAGTCGCAGGCGATTGAAATTTTCAAGCAATTCTGGCTGCAAAAATAATGGTGATGATGATGATGCTCTGTGTCTTTATTGTTGTTCTTCATGGTCTTCTTCTACAAATGGTGAAAGCTGGATTAAATGCCAGGGAAAATGTAAAGAATGGGCACATACTGCTTGTGCTGGTATTTCAAAGACAGAACAAAATTTTGTTTGTGAAAAGTGCAATTTGAAATAAATATTTTGTCGAAACTTTATTTTTTTCAAATTAATTTTATTTGATTTTGGTGAAATTCAATAACAATTTATCCTATAATATTTTCTAAATAATATGTCATAAAATAATGTTTTCTTGCTAATAACTTCTGCAAGCCATAAAACAAAAGCAAGGAATATTAACTTTTGAAATATCAATGAGTTAAATGGTGTCTCAAGCATGACTCCTGCTGTCTCAACCAGTACAGTAGCAGGGATGGTTGAGACATTTAGGTACCTGTAAAACTTTTGAAACTGTCGTCTAGAATGACTCACAATGTTGCATGAGGTTGTAAAATCTTATTCAGTAGACCCACCTCTAACTGAAATTCTTAAGTGTTTAATGATGAAGGGCATTACATTTTGTTTACGTTTGGACGGAAAGTGTCTCAAGCATCCCCACTCTCCCCTATTTTAAGCTGCACATAGATGCAAAAATTAATTAATTGCTATTCAGTATATTTTTCTAGTAAACAAATGCAATCTTTTTCTCTGAAGAATTATGATTAGCTATATAAACTGATAATAAAATTTTTTTTAAATAGATTTAATTTTAAGAGAAAGTGTTATTTAAAGCACGAAATGCAAATTTGAACAAATTAACTGAGAGCTTAAAGTCAAGTTCGGTAAAATTGAGATTCAACTTTAACACCCTGTCACGAGACACTATTGAAATTAGTTATTGGAAAAGCCCTGCCTAACTTGTGTATACATTTTAATAAAAGCAAGAGCAAAATTGACATGACATCACATATTTAGTAATATATACAAAAAAATGAAACTTCAATCAAAGACACCTATGAGTAATGATCACGAATGAATAAATGATTACGAATAACATGTAAAAGACAAAATAAGGTTCAACGACGTATAAGCTTTCAGGTCAATAATCGGGATCATGTGCTATAGTTCAATTCATTTATGTTAATCCCATGCATAAATTTTTTGAAAAAGCCGTTATATAGCAATATAAATTTTTTTTAAATCCAATAGCTACCCCTCTGTGTAATGCATATTATGTATGTTTAATAAACTTTGTAAGAAAATGTTACGATTTCTTGCCTGGAAAAAATTGGCTTGGCATCGTCGGCACTGATGATACCATCCTCATCAGCATCGAATAAGCAGAAGGCATCTCTCAGTTCCTTATCAGTCAGGGTAGGCTGGTCCCTAGACAACATCATATCCACCAACTCAACAAACTCTATCTTTTCTGATCTGCATTAATTATATTGTTAACATATTAGGTAAGTGATATTATTAAACTGCTAATGTAACTGTTTAACTAATTAAATGACTACTTTCGTTTGACGTGATGTTTAAATCCCAAACAATGGAATATTTGGAATAAACATTTACAAAAAATGCTCATCGCATCAGATTTTTGCACTTTATTTTTATTTTTTAAACATTTCTAAAAAAAAACTCTAAGTTTTTGGAGACTTTTAATTTTTTTGGTGAATTTTAACTTTTATAAAATTCGTGTACGTTCAGTTGTTATACTTGTTAACGTCAACGGCATCAATGATATCCATGACTTCGGCCTCCGTTGGTTCAAATCCGACAGTGTGCAGAGCTTTGAAGAGCTTGGGGGCGTCGATGTATCCATCATTTTTCGGATCGATCAGTGTGTAAATCTCCGTGTACTCTTCTAAAAGTTTGTCAGGAAGTTGTGGCATATCCAACTGATCCAGAAGTTCTTCCAGCATTTCATCGATGCCTTCGGCTTCTGCAGAGCTGGAATGCAAGCCGGTAGCAAAACTCATTTTGTCGGAAGTGTTGTCTTTTTTGATGCTTTGTATTAACATTTCTTTGGCACTTGCGTAACCCGTGTTTGGGCGATTCTGTGTGGATGGATGTTAATTGTTTAATGCTGTGTTAAAATTATTATAGCTATGTCATTAATTTAAACAAATATGCAAAAATGTTGTTTTTATTTTTGTTTTCTCTCAAATCACAATTTTGTTAGAAAATAATTATGTTGACAATTCAACTTTCAATACATTCCATGTTTAATCATTTTTCTTTCTCCGTTTTTATTTATTTAATTATTTACTCATTTATTTTTTCATTTAATTTTATACTACTGCCTTGCACTCTGTAACAGTTTCTGCTCCTGTTAGATCCTAATTTTTTTAAAGAATAATAATAAAAAAATTATATTTCAATGCATTTTAAATTACATTTGAAATGTAGACATGTATTTTTTTAGATTTGTTTCGTCCATCAACGGAATCTTATAACTATAAATATTTTTGCAACATTGTAAAACATATCCAACAAACCATTAATTCATTTCAAGTGTAAATTTGAATTTAACGAGTGAAATAATTTCTTACTTGTCCTTGCTTCAACCTCACATTGGCATTTGTCTCGTTTTCCTCCTGAACTGATAAGTCTATGATCTGAACTTTCTTTGTCTTCAAACTCTTCTCAGCGTGATCTAACTCGTTCGTTCCAAGATCTATGTTCAAATCGTGCTCAGCCATTCGAAATAAATTAAAAACGCGAAAAGATTATATTATATTATGTAAATACTTATGTATCGTGTTAAAATAACGTTTAATTAAATAAAGCCGAGAAAAAAATTTGTCTAGCGTTTTTTTTTAAATTGCCAGTTAATAAACACTTTATATTATTATCTCGATCGGTAGCGTCATTTTTTATGAAAAGAAAATGTAGTTTATAACCGTTACTGAAGCAAAAACCATATTTTGCATCATGACATCATAATGCATAGAATTTAAAAATCATTTTACATATAAATAAAAATTTGTACTGTACATGCGTTCACACAACAAACAAACACGCACGCGCGCACGCACAAACATTAATTTAGATTGATGGTATGATGGTCTTTGAGTATCGGACAGACAGTATTCGAACCATGTCATCACGTAATAGCAGCGCGAGACATGTCTCTCCTATCGACTGAGCTAACTCGGTGACCATGGATGCGTGCAAGGGCTAATCTAGACAACTTTGACGGGAGGGCCACAAACTGAAAACTTTTTCATTATAACTTATGAAATTTTAAGGTGGAGTTGTATCTCTCCTATTGAATGCTCAACTGGAAGCAAGAGAACAATGACTTCACGCATAATGAACGAAAAAACGCAGTAGTGGAGCATCACACGTAATAAAAATAAAGCGATGCACATATCTGCTTGTACATATCCATTATGAAATATTCTTACAAAAACTATTTTAAAAATAGCATTCCAATTTTTTGGTAATTAATTTTTTTAATAGTAAGCGACAACACGAGATAGCGACATAACAGACCATCTTGTTTTGCTTTGCAGTCATCCGATTAGGTTCGAACGCAGACCAAATCTCCGTCCATCTCACGTGCATTTTTCTAAATAAACATTGTCACTCTTAAACTACACTTTGTCACTCTTACTCTTAAACTGTGCAACTAATAGTCTCTTTTATGCAGAGCTTAAAATGATTTAATACCGAGTTGATTGCCTTTACTTACAGGCGACACATATCTGTGCTGAACAGTACATACACACACAAAATAAAATAATCAATAACTACGACACATGACACAAATCAAATGTGTAGTGCACATAAACAGTGAGTGTGTGTTGTGTGTGTGAGTGTGTGTACAAAATACTGGTATATAAATAACTTTAGGATTTTCGGAGGTGGTAAAACTCGGATTACACGCTGTTGCGATATCTCATTAACTCGTTGTGGCTAGCTGTGACATAACATCTAGGTAAAATAAATTAAATATACTTGCGAATACGAATCTAGCTGCTTATTAAATTTAAAATTTTGTTACATTATTCAATTTTATGCAATAAATTTCAAAAACAAATTTATTCTATTTTTCTAAGTTTTAATTATTTCAATTATTTTTCAGAAAACAATTAAAAAATTTTCAAGAGAAAATCGCATGAAACATTAACGTCATAATTTACTGCTAAAAATATTTCTATGACGCATAATAAAATTTAGGTCAACATTAAGAAATTTTCCATTGGCTGAAAAATTAACATATAAACGAATCAGCTTCGAGATAAATAGGTCGCTGTAACACAATTGGTTGGTTTTGTAGCGCGTGTAGTCATTGTTAGGCAAAAGTACATTCATTTACGCATTTACGGTTTTGACGAAATCGTTACGTCCACATAGCAGCATATTTTACAATTGTTTGATCAAATCTTTCGTTTTTAATAGTATATTTTATTCGAAATTTTTAATTTGGTTTTACAAATTTGGGATTAACAACAATTACATAATGTCGACCGATGCTCACCATCTTATTTCGATATCTTTAGGAAAAATTGCTTCATCAAAACATCAACGAGGGGGCTTACGGTTACACAAAAGTCTGATGGTGGCCAATGTTATCGTGAACGCTCGTTCGCTGGCCCTCAGTCAGTTAAGCTCCGATTGTAAACATCTATCGGTTCATACCGACGGTTCCAACTTACACGGATCACGAGATTCCTGCGAGCTTCCTGATTTTTTAGAAGACGATCGAATATCAAACAACGAAGACATGTCAGGTTTTGATCAGGATAAAAATCATATCAGCGCCAATTTAGAAACAAAAAAAATTGAATACGATTTTCAACAACACACTCCAAACCAAGTTAAAGGAACAAAAAGGAAAAATAGTGATGAGGAAGATGGTGTCAGTTCTTCAAAAAAACCTCGTGTTGACATGTCAAATGACTCAGTTAATTTTTTGGGTGACTCGATTGATACAACCAATAGTCTGTTAAATTCATTTGAAATGTGTCGTCTCGACCAATCCACGAATAATGATGTTATTGCACGACAACAGCCTAATGACCATGTAATTCCCGACTCAGATATACCTTCATATAGCACATTAACGTCAGCAGAATACTTCAGTGACAGCATAGAAAATGATGATGGTTTTGAACTTGACACATCACTTTATTCATCAGAAGACAATATTGTTTCGTGTTCAACACAAATTCGAGAAGCATTGGACATGCTCACAAGACCGGTCATATCTTTAACCGTTTGATCATGACATTGCCATTAGTGTTCAAAGTGTGGTCTGAATGTATTATTATTTTGATATGTAATGTTCATTATCATTGTAAATCAAATGTATAGTATAGAGTTGCAGAGGAAATATTCTCAGGAAATTGTTTGTACATATTGTCTAATCTAATACCTGGTACTTTTGATTCATTCACACTGAATTTTATAGTAATTTATTATTGTCAGGGTTAAAATTTTAAACTTATTGACAATATCTGATATGATTATTTAGGCTTGTTCAATTTTATGAAAAAGTGCTTCTCCGATGCCTAGGGTGTCATAAAATATATGCTGTCTTGTAAAGTTTATGCTGTGATAAGTTAATATATTTTTTAAAATTTGTTTTGTCTTGCTAATATTTTATGATCGATTTTTGTATATTATAGAAATATAAATGTTAACAAAACATCTTAAAAAATGGTTATTAGTTTATTTTTGGCAAAATTAACAGTTAAATATTATGGCTTGGCGGCACGTTAGGTCCCTGTGGTGGTGGAGATTGGGACAGCTGCCAGGCTCCTTGTAAATGGTTTTGCAGGGATATTTTATAACGCTGTAGCCTTATTTTGTTTTCACCATCATTGGAGCATAGGAGTGATACGTCTTTGGCGTCGCATATCTTATAATTGGTACAGGGATATGATCGACCAGGGTCACAAATAGGATCTAGTGACAAACACTCTAAGGTCAAGTGCCGTTCAATTCCTTTGCTTGGTTCAAAATTCTTGAAGTAAGTTCTGAATCGTATAAAGTGCCAGACGTAAATTCTCGAATTTTATCAGTCGTTGAATCAATTGGTCTAGTAAGGCAAACTTGATAAAACTAGTTGGCGTATTTTTTATAATACCCTACATGATTCTTAACTAGCAAATTCTAAGTTAATTGTTAACAACATACATATATTCTTTATGTATACATGTATATATATAATACACATTTTTGAATGTGAGTTTTTTGAGTTCGCATTTTACCAATAGTGTTTGAATGTGTAGTTTCAATAAAATTAACTTTTAAATATCGATGAATCGTAAGTTCGTTGACAACTGCAGTCTGCTTATCGGCAATCGGGCAAATCTTAGCGCTTTATTGATTGCTAATTTACGTCAAATGTTTACATTGAAAAAGTCTTGTACCTGGATGAATAATTTATCAAAAAAAACTTCCCAGTGACTGGAATATTAACAATAAAATATTTAATATTAATTTTATTTAAAATATTGTTATATAATGAAAAATAAAAGATAGAATAGAAATATAATATTTATAATATAATAACATAATAATAATAAAATAATATAATAAAGTAAAATGTAATAATAATATAGAAAAAAATTGAAGAAATTAAAGATGATGATTTATTTTTGTGTGTTATATATTTAATTTTTAATAATTTGAAAATTAAATTTAATACAAAAATATTTATAAAAATATAAAAACCTAAAATTAATTTTACAAAGTTAGTAGTTAAATTAAATATTAATAAATAGTTAAAACCGACTGTAGCTCTTATTAATATTTCTTAATTAATTTATTATACTTTTATAATTATATATAATCATACTATCTCTAACAACCTAACATCTTAACTACCAAACTCAGTTATAAAACTTTTTTTTATATAGTTAGACTTTAGAGGTTAGTTTTAGAGTGAATCTTACACTCTTAGCCTTCTTAATGGGAGTCTAGTCTAAACTGTTAAGTTAATAATCGAAAGACTATAAAAAATGATATAATTTTATACATAATTTATAGTCAATTAATCAAATTAATAAACCTTGAAATTTTCGAAATTATATGATGAAATTTTATTAAAAGTTTTATAAAATTCTCTTATTTAGTTACCAGATTATTAGTTGTACTGAAAATTTGAAATAGGAATTAATTTTGTTTAGCTTTTCATTACTTGGGTTTTTGATATGTTTTTTATCATTATAATATATAAGATTCAGGCATTTTAAAAGTAATTTAAATAAAGATTTTAGTCAATTTATTAACAATTTGTCATGTATAAACTTTAGACTCGAGATTAAATATGGTGATAGTCTGGCTGTTCTTTAATTTTTATTTAGACTACACTTAAACTAAACTATTTTCTGGAACATTGTCATTTATCAGGCAAATTAATATAGTTTATAATATTTTTACAGTATGTTTGATTTTCAATATTATTTGATAATTCTGTTGAACCAAAATAAATAATATATTTTGGAACATAATTTTGGACTTTCATCGTAAATATAACAACATTTTTATTAACATATAATAATACTAAATATGTATATATATATTTAATATATATACTGTATACAATGCAATTTTTAAAGTGCTTAATAAATTGCAAACTCCGAAAACTTCGTTATATCGTTTTATTTTTTGCCCTTTGCATTGCAATTAATATTTACACCATTTATAGAAAAGTTCTAGAGAATCCAATCAACAACAATTTGTTGAGTATTAATAGGAATAGGAGTCATTCCATCCCATCTATATTGAACGATTTGATTATCAAAAAGATAACAACACCAAATTATAACTTTCATGTATTTTATTATGCCTGGTATGGAAATCCGGTAGTTAATGGAAAATATCTTCATTGGAACCACAGAATTTTACCAAAATGGAATGCAGCAAACGTCTCATTGTTCAATGTAAGGCATCAACCTCCAGATGATATTGGTTCCACATTTTTTCCTAAATTGGGATTATATAGCTCTAAAGCAGTTGATATAATCAACAACCACATGAAACAAATCAGAAATGCTAATATTGGTGGGTTTTTAAAAACTATCATTTTTATAAATTATCATTACTTGCTTTTTGTTGATGGAAAAAAATTAAGCTAAAAAAATAATGATTTAGTCTTAAAGTATTTTATTAATTACCATCTGCAAATCACTGCTGGAATCACAAATAACTTGCTCATACTCTTGCCTATTCTGAACATAAATGTGACTAAATTGTGATTTTATAATTGTTGCTATATATATATATATATACATATTATTGATTATATATATATATATATATATATATATATATATATATACTTCCCAGGGATTCTTGGCACCCCTTGACCACTTAAGGCCTGCTGGGGACTAGGGGCCGTTGTTTTTCTTTGTGATGGCATAGGAATAATTTGGGGAAAAATTTTTACATCCGGACACTCATCCTGACGACAACCACCAGTTATAAGCAGTGAGCCTAGCTTTTCACTCAAAAGCACGCAAGGCAGCGTGGATGCAGTTTTATGTCATACCCAGGACAATATAAAAAAATAAAAACTATTCTGGAATGGTCAAAAGACGGCCAAAAATGGTGTTGGAATTTTTGTCAGAGAACCGCTAGCCCAAGAAGTACTGGATATTAGAAGGATTAATTCACGTCTTATGTGGATCAAGCTTCGCATAGAAAAGCAAACAATGATTATTTTTTCTGCATACGCTCCACAGACAGGCGAATCAGAAGAGATGAAAAATGACTTCTGGACTGCATTCTCTGATACCATCTCAACAATACCAAAATCTGAAACAATCCTGATTGGAGGCGATCTCAATGGCCACGTTGAAGAGAAAACAGATGGTTTTGACAACGTACATGGCGGTTTTGGCTATGGAAAACGGAATGAAGATGGCAACCGCATCCTTGAGTTTGCTGAAAGTCACGGGTTTTGTTTACTGAACACATATTTTAGAAAGAGGTTGGAACATCTCATAACATACAAAAGTGGACTATCAGCCACGCAAATTGATTTCTTCGCTGTCAAGCAACAACACCGAAGGCTATTCAAAAACGTCAAAGTTATACCTGGCGAATCATGTGTCGCCCAACATAGACTCCTTGTGGCAGACCTGGTTGTCGAACTGTCAAAACATAAGTCTAAACAAATGCCTCGGAGAATCAAAACGTGGAAGCTGAAAAGCAATATTCATCGAGAAAAATTTCAACAGATCGTCGCAACACAGTTAGACCACCAATAGCAAGCCAGTACAGATTGTAGTACATACAAAACCGTTTTGATGAACGCTGCAACTGTTTGTGGGAAAACTGGTACAAAACGTCAGCATGAACGTGACATTTGGTGGTGGAATGACAGTGCACAAAATGCAATAGCTGAAAAGAAAGTTGCATTCAAGCAATGGCAAAAATCAAAGTCTGTTGATGACCATAAAATTTTTTGTGAGAAGAACAACTACGCAAGACGTCAAGTTGCACTGGCTCGGACAGATCAGTGCAGAGAGTGGCTCACTAAAAGTAAAGGTGAACAAATGAAATCTCTGTATCGTATAGAAAAACAAGCAAAGCGTACAAAAAAAGACATAGTTGGTGCCTCATGTATAAAAAATGATAAAAATGAGAAGGTTCTTGAACGAGATGAGATCAAGCTACAGTGGAGAGAATACTTCAACCGTCTGTTAAACGAAACAAATCCAATCAATGTTAACTTTGACGCTCCATCCATCGAAGGTCCGATTCCAGACATCACTGTAGAGGAGCTTACAGAAGCTCTGAAAGCTATGAAGGATGGAAAGGCAGCAGGGCCCTCTGGACTCACAAATGACATTATCAAAGCATCTGGTACTGCAGGTATCCAGACGTTACTACAACTTTGCCGTGAAATCTGGAGAAATTGCTCAATGCCGACTGAATGGAACTATAGCATGACAGTTCCTCTATACAAAGGCAAAGGTGATCCATTGAACTGTTCATCATATCGGGGTATACGTCTGTTTTCTAACACTCCCTGAAAATTGTCGAGAAAATCATTGAGAGAAGATTAACGTCGTGCATCACAATCGGAAATTATCAATTTGGTTTTCTAACTACAAACATATTAACGCCAAACATTCGGTAGAATTTATAGAATATTGTAAAAATTATGGTCTATTACCAACACACACACACACACACACACACACACACACACACACACACACACACACACATACATATATATATATATATATATATATATATATATATATATATATATATGTGAAAATCATAGCATGCTCCGCATTAGTTAGCTTCCTGTTTAATTTTTCTAACGGTACTCGCAAATCATTGTCAAGTTTCTTGGGTTCAAAACGTTCAAAACTTAAATTTTTATTTATTTTAAATATGTTAGAACATTTAAGCATGATATAACAAAAAAGCTTTTTTCGGGATTCCTATACCATCTTCGATGTTCGAATTAATACGTTGTGTATGTGGACAAATGCTCAAGCATGTTTATAATGTATTCCTACAATATTAATTCTTTGTTTAATTTAATGTGAACACTTAAAGGTCATTCAATTAGTTATTACATCTTCAAAATTGCAGTATGACACTTTTGCTTGTCATCATAATCTATATTTACCTGTTTCTAAATTTATTAGTGGTGGGAAGATTTGCTAAAAATTGTTTCAATAAATTAAACTAAATTTCGTAGGTGTTTTAGCATTGTCCTGGTACCCTCCTGGTACGCATGATGACGAAGGAGAAGATATGGATGATCTTGTGACGAACATTTTAGACCACGCTCAACTTTTCCAGCTGAAAGTTAGTCCAGCTGGTTATGCTGAATGATTTTTATATTCTATCAAATTAATCTCGAAATTGACCAAAGCAGTTGTTATGGAATTCGCCATAAAACTTGTCTTTTTTAATCTACTTTACATAAGTCAATTTTTGTTTTGCATGAGTTAGAAAAGAAAGCAAGCGGTCCAGTTTAATATGATTGTTTGTTTCTTGTTAGATGTGTATTTTTATCAAGTATTTTATGAAAAGTCTACCAACTAATTGCAACGTTTTCTCATGAACCTTAAGAGTCTTGTTATAGCTGTTTTTTTTACCACCTTCTACGAGTGTTTTTGTGTTATTACGACGTTCGATATTGAAAATAATACGCATTTCATAAAATTTTTAAAGACTCCTAAAAACCAATCGGTTACAACGTTTTGTGATTGCTATCGTTTCCTAAGAATTATTTGTACAAGTGAATACCTTAATCTGTGTATTAGCACAAAAATGACAAGAACACAACAGGACGATCACCCAATTAAGTGTCTCTACAAATAAAGCTCTTTGTACAAATGTTATGAAAAATTAAAATTATCAGCTGATATCACCATTTATTCAATTGGAACTTTTAAAGCAGAGTTAGATTAGACTAGTTTTTAGAGATTTTTTACATGTCATTGTGACTCTAATTAAGCATATGCGTCAATTAAATTATGTCAATAAAATGTGAAGAATCTGCATTTTAAATGATATTTTAGTTTAGCCCATTGATAATCCCATCAACTCACATTTATAAAGTTTAAACTTTTCCCATTTGTTATATAGTATTTAATTTGTAATGAATAAATTATTTTAATTCCACAAAATCGTTGTAAACCCACACGCACGCACACAAAAATATGTATATATATATATATACATGTATATATATATATATATTAATAATATGTTTATTTATTTATATATTACATTTATATATTAAGATAAATAAACAATTGCAGGTTTGTTTCCACATTGAACCGTTCAAGGGGAGAGATGAGAAGACGATGAGAAAAAATATAAAATACATAATAGACAAGTATGGGTCTCATCCAGCTTTCTACAGGATGTTACATAAGAAATCTGGCCAACATCTGCCAATTTTTTACGTTTACGATTCATATTTGATAGACGTTAAGCAATGGAAACGTTTGTTGCATCCGCGTTATGGAGGAAACAGTACAGACAATATTTCTGTTAGAGGTACACAATATGATGCAATTTTTATTGGGCTGATTGTTGAGAGGAACCATCTCTACTCCTTGCGAGATGGTGGTTTCGACGGATATTACACTTATTTTGGCTCCGATGGATTTTCTTTTGGTTCATCGCTCAGTAACTGGATGTTTTTAGCTGGTCAGCAGAGTGAATTGCAAATGTTTTTTATTCCAAGCGTGGCTCCAGGTTATAACGATGAAAAAGTAAGGCCGTGGAATAATATAAACACTAAAAGTCGTCTCGACGGCAAATATTATGAAAATGCATTCTCCAACGCCTACAAGTCCCTAGCTGAGGTTGTCTCGATAACATCGTTCAATGAGTGGCACGAAGGTACGCAGATAGAAGAGGCAGTCCCCAATAGGAACAATTCAAATTTCCGATATCTTGACTATTCTCCGCACGACTCATCTTACTATTTAGCAATTACCAGAAAATGGATCGATTTGTTTTCAAAAAGAAAATTATAGTAAAGAAATAAAAAAATTATATTATTTTTTTTTCATGTTAATTTTTCGGGTACCGGTTTTTATATTTTAATTCATGAGGATCGATTATTTAAAATTAAAAAATTTAATTTAGGTTAATTTATTAAAAAATGTTCAACAATATCTGAGCAATTAAATCTGAAATTTTTTAGTTGATTAAATCAATGAATTATAAACCAGGCAACTGTCGTTAAGTCTTCAGATGTTTGAATGCACTAAATGCCGAAATCAAAAACACGTAATGCCATAGAATAATATAAAAATTATGATGAATATGATTCAAAGAAAAGTTATGTTACGTCACAGTCAAAATTCTTGAAAAGAGCAAATGGATGAGATGCTGCGTGGTATCTCGAAACTGTTATCGTCGTGGTCTCGCACTGAGATATTATCAACCGGGGAAATCATCTCGTTTGAAGGCATCGTTAGAAAAATAGATGGGTACTGGTCTTGTCTGTTGACTAACGGGTCCAAGAGTGGGATGGGGTTCGTCAATGTTTTGGATACTTCGATGATTGGGTTTGTTCTGGTCTTTGAAAGTCTTTGATATTTTGACGTGCTAAACTGGTTTTCGCTGTTCAAACAGGCGTATGTGTTTTCTATCGTTTTATTTGGCGAGTTGCTCGATGAATCAATTAATGAAATTTTTGGTATGAGTGGATCCAGTTCATTTGCATCTGTTGATAACAAATCGTAAGAATTCGAAAGACATTTTTCGTCGTTTTTATAATCTGAAAAACATTTTAAAATTGGTAGATTGTCATTTTCTATTGTCTCACTAGCGTCGATTTGTTTAGATGTCACTTGACTCTTTTCAGAGTTTTGTTTTTTCAAATTAAATTCTTGATTTTCCTTGTTACTGATGGTATAAATTCCATTAGTTTTACAACGAGAAATATTATTTTCAGTAACAGGATTGCTGAAGTTCCGATATCTGACGTGTTCAACACCGTATTCGTTTGCTGTTTGTTGAAGCTCGTAATAATTTTTAGAGATGTGGTTGGTATCTACTTTGTTCGATGAAATGATTGAATCGTTAGAATCAGAAACGTTAAAATTCAAAAGCGGCATAGACGAATCATCCCACTTTGATTTATCGGTATCAACAGACGTTCCAGTTTCTGAAGGACAATAATCGGGCAAGTTATCACTGTGTGCTTGCGGCAATTGACCAATTACTGATAAAAATTGGTTATCTCCAGAAATTGGTTCACTCAGTTGTTTGCAGGCCATGCCGTGAAAATGTTTGCTGGGAGTCGTTTTAATAGAATAGTGATGTGCGCGTCTGACAGAAGAATGCTTTGAATGTACCCTGCAGCAATCTTCAGCACACTTCTCTTCTGCAAACGTGTTGGCTGTAAGAAAAGATTGATAAGTTGGTGCTGCTGCGTTGCTTTTGTTGACGTTGCCGTTCTTGTTGCTGTTGTTGTTGCTGATAATGTTGTTGAGGTTATCGTTGTTGTTTGTTGAGCTCGCTACGTTTTTGGATTCCCGGTACAGATCAATTAACGCGTCTAATTTGGCGTCTATATCGTCGATCTGTTTCAGTTTATCATTATTTATTCTAACTTAATCAATGCAAAATAGCGGCGATGAATTTGTAAAAATAAATTAAAGTTATATTTTTCTCATATTATTACAGAGATATTACGGTACTATTAATGGTAAAACCGTAGTAAATAAAATCCTAATTTTTTAATGAATGCACTTGCACATAAAAAACCTTTTTTTCAACTTTGATGAATCTCGAGGCCATACTGACACGTGACTCGCAGACGTCATTAATAGAATTTCCAGAATGTCCTACTATAAGATCTAGCCTGATTGGTGCGTTTTGTTATGTTTTATCAACAGTCTACAATTTCAAAACATACCTCTTACACACACACACCACATATATAGTGTATATAGAAAAAGATAAAGACAATAAAATAGAATAAATAAGATGGAATAAAATGTTCAATATTAGGAAGCAATTAAAGCGCCAACTCAAGAAGGGGCAAGACTTTTTTGTTCTGGCAATAATTTAGAAAGGTGACGTACCTGTACTTCACTCCTTTAATATTTTGAATATTGCTGATCAATGTTTGATCTCTTTGTTGCCAAATAAAATTTAGCATTTCTGTTTGCTTATTTTAAGTGTTTTAACAAAAACAACAATCAAAACGTAATGATTAAAAATTTTTGCATTTCTATATTTTCACCGCAAAGCAACAGTCGAAAAAATTTATATACAATAATTTTTGCCTCACTCTCATATATCAATATTAATATCTTGCCGTTCCAAAAATAGTTAAAAAGTAGGGGAGGCCACTGAAAGCAATTTTGTAAAACATTCACAAACCCTAGCGCAGTTTTCATGAGTTGAAACAAACAATTGTGAAACACGGTGCTATCTATCGAGTGTTACTAAGCGTTTTTTCAAGTCAATCTTGTTCCTATGAAGCAGAAACGATTCAAAATATTCCAGCGTTCAATACTGAATTACTGATCTAGCAACGTTGGTGTGGTCTGGTAACTGACGCTCAAAACGTAACGTGAAAGCGTAAGCGTAGTTAAGGTTTTCTACGATCTCTCTCGAAAATATAAAATTTGTTTGTTACTTTATGTACATTAGGGAGACAAAATGTTTCCACTTTTTACGTGACATCTCTTTGCTTTATGGTCAGTAAAATAATCTGCCTAAATTAGAAGATTTTTAAAATATTAATTTTCAGCATTCTTGATACTCAATTAAATCGTAAAAAGACTGTTTTTCGAATAATAATTCGATTTCAACTTCAACAATGAAAACTGAATGGTAACTTAAATTATCACATTTTCTTAAATTATAAAGTACTTTAGTTTAATAATTTTGACATTTAATTAAAGGATTTAAGTGACTTAGAGGGTTATAGCCCCAAAGAAGAAAACAGTAAATCAAGTATGGGAAAATCAAAGCACAAAGAAGCATAAATATAACATGAGAAGGAAAATTTTTGCTGAATTTAGTAATTATGTCTATTGTTTTAGATATTTCATTAAAATTAGTAATACAAAAGAGAAATACCTCAGTTGCAAGTCTTTAATCCTGGTCAGCATGTCCAGATGTCCAGCAGAGTACTGCTCAATAACGTCTTTCACGTCATAAGGCTTCAACGCTTCTTTGAAGATGCGTCTGTATGTCAGGATTGATGGACGGTTGGTTGATTGGATAGATGGATGGATGGGTGAATGGATAGACAAATGGATGGATGAATGGATGGACGGTTGGATGGACGGATGGGTAGAAATTAATAATACAAAAGATGGTTGACCATGGTGTGTTGGTGAATGAATATTGTGTGATGATGAGTAAAGTAGGATTAGGATAGATTGAGATTGTGAGCCACGAACGAAGAACGTGTGAAGTAACGGAGCATGAACGAATGAGGCAATCTTTTGATAGATTAATCGACATGTTAATATAAAAATTTAAAAATGAGTCGGAATAAGCACCTGAGTAGTTTCACAGTCACGTGATTATCATCACCACCACCACCATCATCATCATAGCCATCATTGGACTAATGCTTTCATATTATTATACAGAAAGACATCATCACACGTTCATCGCTTCCATATCATCCTTTTGTGTGACATCTTTTGTTTCTTGGGAACGTTCAGATAACGCGTTCCGAAAATTCGTTTAAAAATGTTTATGGTTTTGTTTCTAAGAAAATTGAACTGAATTACATAATGTTAGATTTCTTATTGACATCTCTGTGCATTTTCGCTACCAACGAGAATCATCTTCAAACTAACAAGCAACGGTAGCGTTTGATGATGGTTTTGATTATTACAAAATTCACCGCTAGATAAATACATTTGAATAGAACATCATTTAACAACTTTTAATCGTACGCTGATTATTGTATTCAGTCTGAATACATTTTATAATAAATATTGAGCGTAATTTGATGCTGTGTGAACGTGGTGATCAGTTCAACAAATCCTGCAAAGTATTATGTAGAAAAATTCTAAAAAAAATGATGGTGCGAATTTGTAGAACGGCCAAAGGAGTCTGGCCCAGGTTAAGTTCGGAGGAAGGAGCCTGGCCCAGGTGAGCTCGGAGGAAGAGCTCTTCATGAAATTGTTAGTTGATAGTTCAGTTGATATATTTTTTAATTCAATTCACGTATTCAAAAATATATTGGAAATATACTTTTGTTTTACTGATGGCGGATAAACGTAAACATTTTAAAAATTGAACCAAAATTAGTTCCAGGTTCATTTCATAACTGTGTTTTTAAATTTATCCACACAACAAAATTTATTTAACAAATACTACAGTTATCAAATTTATTTGAATTTATTCAAATTTAATTCACCTTTTACATTTATATAAAATGTTTCACAAAATTGTTCAATGTTCAACTTGGAGATGATTGCCATCATGTTAATGATGCTAGAGACTGCTAGTTTTGAAAGTTTCGAAATGTTCCTCGCATATTAAATATAACTTCTCGTTCCAGTTCCATCTTGTATAATTATTAAATAACATAGGTCAATAAATACAATGAATTATTAAAATGAATTACGTTTTGCGAGGTTCAGCAGAGGCCTGAGATTAATTTCTGTAGTTTGTGCAGATCCAACAATGATTAAATGCCTAACAAGCTTTTATAATAATTCTTAAAACGAACTAACAAAATTCAGCACATAAACGAACACACACCACACACACACACACACACACACACACACACACACACACACACACACACACACACACACACACACACACAAAGGTCTTTAAACGTCTAGTGCTGACTTGTCTGTTGGGTCATTCATTTATCCACCCATAGATTCTTGCCGTCGGTTCTGTCGGCTTACAGACCTGGTTCGTCTACGGAAACTGCTCTCCTAAAGGAATTTGGTGATATAGTAAAGCAAGTTGATAATGGTAATGTAGTATTGTTGGCGCTTTTGGATTTCAGTTCTGCATTTGAAACGGTTGATCATGCGGTGCTTTTAACAAGATTATCGGTCTCGTTTGGTATTGGTGGTGTGGTGCTTGATTTCGCTTCGATTGCTTCGCTTCATATTTGACGAATCGTGCACAAAAAGTATGTTTTGGTGGATTGGTGTCTAATGAGATGGAATTGCAAACGGGTGTACCACAGGGATCGGTGCTGGGTCCGGTTTTATTTTTCATGTACGTGTCTGGTTTACCGGCTTTGATTTATGATCATGGTCTGGGGGTTCACATGTATGCAGATGACTTTCAAATCTATTCTGCTGGCCTGATAAAAAATGTTCAAGCTATTTTTAGTGGTCTAATTATGTGTATTATTGATTGGTTAAAATTGAATTGTTTGAAACTTAACCCAGACAAGACTGAGTTGATATGGTTTGATTCTAAGAAAGATTCATCTGCACTAGGAGGTATGACTTTTGATATATTGGGTAATAGGTTGATCTCGACTGACAAGGTCAAAAACTTGGGTGTGATGTTTGACAATGCTTTGACGATGTTGCCTCAAGTAGCGAAACTCAATGCTATCTGCTTTCTTCAGCTACGAAGATTGTATCTGGTCAAGAAATGTCTTCCAGTTGATATTTTTACTAGCCTGGCGGTGACTTTTGTGTTAAGTTTTATGTTTTATATTAAAACATTATGATTTATAATATACATTTATTTTCTTTGGACCAAATGTTCTTTGCTTTGTATGTAACTTCACTTTTCCTTTTCTGTTGATCCGGTTGATAATAAACAAGTCGAGAACGTTGCAAAGTTTATTTCTTGTCTATTAATGTCTTTCAATATTGTATCAATTAATTAAGCGATTTACGTAATAAGAAATTTAACAGGTTATGGGACCCAGATAACGTTTTTCTTAATTAATTGATTTGACGAAGAAAATTTAGAATAAAGAAATATCGGAAGATTCCTTTGTGAAGACTGAAGTGAAGAAAAAAAACACGTGCTTCTTCATTCTCTGAAAATCGATATTTTGCTTCTAATTAAAAGGTCAAATTGAAAAGACAAGGAAGAAATGGATTCAAAGCTTCAAATAAAACAGTTAAGTTGCGCAGCCGATTGGCCCATTTGGAAACGTCGTGTTCGAGATTTCATGGACTACCATGAGGGCGCACTTGATGTGATTGATGGGAAGTTGTCGAAACCAGAATTTCTAGAAAACCAAACAGAGCAACAGGCAAAAGATTTTAAAAATAAATCAGATCTTTTTAGAAAGGCAAACAGTTATGCCAAATCAGTAATTGCAAATGCAGTCACAGAAGATACATACCAAAAGATAATGGACAAGAACACAGCGTTTGAAGTTTGGGAGGAATTAAAAAGAAATTTTGAAGCGTCAACTAAGGACCAACTGTTCCAAGTTTGTAGCAATTTTTTCGATTTCAATTGGATAGCGGATGTAGATGTATCCGGCCAAATTGCAAGATTGAAAACTTTATGGAATGAATTAAACAGTGGGCTTCAGGCATCGGGAGAAAATAAACTACCAGAGCTGCTATTAGTATGCAAAGCGATGCAGATTCTCCCAAATAGTTTCCAAAATTTCAAATCAAGTTGGCTAATGCTAGGTGAAGAAAAGCAGTCGATAGATGATTTAATCACTCATCTCTGTGCTTTCGAAAGAGAGATAAAGACTTTCGACACAATCGATAAATCATCAAGGCAGAACGCCTTAGTTGTAAATGTTGAAAAGCCAAGTTTCAACAAATCAAGAGATTTCACTAGAAGGACAAAACCAGTTGGTAACTGCAACTATTGCCATAAACTTGGACACTGGGTTAGGCAATGTAGAAAGTGGGTCAGTGATGGAAGACCTTCTAAAAATTCCAAAAATGTTTCAGCGACACCAAGAAAAGCATATGATGAAACATCAAATGTAATTTTGTGCACGTCAGCCAGTAATCAAACACTGAGAGACAACACTAAGTGGTATATTGACAATGGAGCAACAAAACACCTAACGAACAATCCAGATAATTTTGTTACTTTTGAGAAGTTTGTCGCACCATGTTCTGTTCAAGCTGCAGGAAAAGAAGTTCTTGCTGCTGTGGGTAGAGGCAAAATAAATATGCTGTCAACAGTAAATAACAAACAACAGTATATAAAACTCTCAGATGTCTGGTATGTTCCAAATATAGGTAGAAACCTGTTTTCCATATTAGCCGCACAAGATAAAAATTCAAAAAACAGCAAGTTTGAATCTTATGCAACCAAATGTCAACTCAGTATAAAGAACCGAGTGGTAGTACAAGGGACAAGACGAGTAGATGGTTCCTTGTATGAGGCAAACTTGATTTCATTAACTCCAAATACACCGGCTGAAGTGAATATAGTCAGTGAAAATTCAATAGTGCAGCTCTACCATGAACGTTTTGGTCATCAAGATAAACGTCACATAAAGAATGTTATAGAAAAGGAGTTAAACATTAAAGTTCATCTTGACAAGGATTTGTGTGAACCATGTCTCTATGGTAAAGCACATCGGTTAAAATTTGGCAAGAGAAATGCAACCAATAAACCAGGTGAACTACTATCAGCAGATGTTTGTGGTCCTTTCAGTACAGAATCATTTAATAGTAAACGATATTTTGTTGTTTTCAAAGATCATTACAGCAAAATGAGGTTCATTTCTTTTCTTAGACACAAAAATGAAGTGAAACAGGCACTACAAAATATTTTGTCTCAAGCAGCGACTCAAGGTCATAAAGTAAAAAAATTTTTGAGTGACAATGGGGGTGAGTTTGACAACGAAGAAGTTCGAAACATCCTGCGCAGCCATGGAATCACGCAAAGACTAACAGCATCATATACACCTCAACAAAATGGTGGTAGTGAACGTGAAAACAGAACAATAGTAGAAATGGCACGCACATTGAAGTACTCAAATCCAGATTTTGAATTTCCAGTCGCTATGTGGGCTGAGTTATGTTCAACTGCAGTATATTTACTTAATCGAACAGGCAAGTCGTCGATTGAAGATAAAAGCCCATTTGAAATTTGGACAGGTAAAAAGCCGAAAATTAACCATTTGAGAATAATTGGCTCTACATGTTTTGTTCACATACCTGATCAAAAACGTCAAAAAATGGATAAGAAAGCCATAAAAGGTTACCTTCTTGGTTACGATGGTGACGAACGCTATCGTATATGGCTCA